TTGGTTTGGTTTGGTTTGGTTTGGTTTGGTTTGGTTTGGTTTGAGACAGTTTCTCTGTGTAACCCTGGCTGTCCTGGGACTCTCTCTATAGACCAGCCTGGCCTGAACTCAGAGATCCTCCTGCCTCTGCCTCCCCAAAAGCTGGGATTAAAGGTGTGCACCATTAATGCCCAGCTGGTATTTTTCTTTCTTAGTTGAGAAAGCTACTTTCCTGGTCTTTTATGGCAATGTTTACCTCTTCCAGAACCCCCTAATTTAATGCCCTACATATATACCCATAAATAAACTTGTAATGTCCATACCAATCACCTCTCGATACATAGAAACAGTTTTCAATCTGACAGCTATGTTCTGTCTTCAGCACCTTCTAGTTCACCAACCACGAAGCTTAATAATATATTCCTAGTGCTTTGCATAATATTGCTCAACAGGTATCTGTCAGCTCCGGAAGTGAAAGCAGAGACTTAAACCCCGGTGCTGCAGGCCCTCTTGTCAGGCTTTATCTAATATCTTGCACACGGTAGGTGCTCAAAACTGCGATGGTGATAACACTCTTTTAGCACACACACTCACAATCTGAAAGAGGCTTTTATACCTGACCACCAGATTAACCTTTGTATCTACTGAATTGTCACATGATGGTAGAGACAGTGAGTCTGGCTGTTAGAACACGTCTGCTTGGGAACAAGTGTTTGAGAAGAGATGGGAGAAAGGTCACTCATTTTTCAAAGATACTTGGCTGGCATAATATTTTGAAATGTATTCGCCTAGAATACCATATCTACATTTTAAATAAAATCTTTTTTTTGTTTGCATGGTTTTTTTTTTCTTTAGAGACAGGGTTTCTCTGTGTAGCCCTGGCTGTCCTGGAACTCACTCTGTAGACCAGGCTGGCCTCGAATTCAGAAATCCACCTGCCTCTGCCTCTCAAGTGCTGGGATTAAAGGTGTTCGCCACCACTGCCCAGCTAAATAAAATCTTTTACTTTCCCAAATACTAAATATATCTCCATCACATAAAATACAGAATATTTTTAGTCTACCACGTGATCATATAGATGGTAATTGTAAAGTCTTAAATTGTCTTATCCCATCAGTTCTAGAACACAGAACACAACTGTGTATAACCACACCGTGGTGTCTGACAATTATCACTGAGGTCTGGTTGTCACAGAAGAGATTCCTGGTTGCATTGCCAGCCGTGGGAAGGAACCACCCACTCAGGACTAAGCTGAGTAAAAGCCATGCTTGAAGTTCCTTGGAAGGTGTTGGAACCGTGACTTCAAAGAGAACGCTATCTTAATCAGCAGTGGGCAATCCAAATTCTTAGGTGAGATTTTTTTTTTCTCCCCTCTCTCTAGTGAGAAATTCGAAACAAGAAATTTCCTTATCTGGCTTTCTCTGTCAGAGGCTGCTTTACTGTTTTATATGGCTACACCACCATGGAAATGCAAGGGCTTGTCTTAAATAGATATTAGATATTTTCTTTCTGTGTTTGTTTCCAGTATGCTCTATGTTAGATTTGTTTTCTTTCCTCTCTTACATCAGATCATGAACATTTTTGGAATTCTATCGGGGAAAACTACAGGAATTATTTTTGTGGCTAGTGTTATGTGAGAGTCGGATCATTTATGTCACCATCTGTCATTGTTGGAGAGTAAAACTCTTCCCCTTCTGTTGTGTCTAAAGTTTTGACAGAATTTCACTCTTACTGTAAAGCTCTGTAACCTTCAGCCCTGAGCACAGAATGGGAGAGATATCAAAAAGACAGATGTGTCTCTTCTCTCAAACTCATAACCCAGCGGGGAAAGCAGACAATAAATAAAATATGGGATGAGGGAAGAAAATCTGCTATTCAGGTTGCTGACTTGTGATAACTGCTCAACGTGGCCAACTGGGTTAAAGTGCAGTCTTTTCTATTATTAGGTTCTCAATGTATATTTACGTTTTATGATTGGATCTATTTTTTTTCAAAATACATGCTAAAAATGTGTCTTTCCTCTCTAGACCATGCCTGTCCACTTAATGTCTTAATCTTACCCAGTCTTGCTACGATGTGATACTTAACATTTTCTCATTGACCCGCTAATATTTGTGTGTACTTATAGAATTATTCCTTTAGTTCCTCTGAGTTGTAATCCACTTATAGCACAACGTTAAATTACTATATTTGCTGATTATGCATTTCTAGCTGTTGTCTATCTTTACATGACAACCACACTAATGGGAGATTCTGGAAGGTCTGGGTATAAGAAAAATCATGATCTTACTCTTTAGAGAGAGTCTATTAGGTGCTAGATATAGATACCCGGTGTCTTCAGGGGTCAGTCACGTGGGGAATGGACATGCAATTTCAGAGAAAGTGAGTCATTCTCATACATGTCTTTACTGAGATGTGACAACAATGAAGGAGGAGGATTTGGGGTGGCGGAGGCTTGCTGCATGTGAAACAGGAGCCTCTTCAGTTCTCAGGCAGAACGAGCTGCAATAAGATCAGTGACAATCTGAAGTTCAAGAAGGAGGGCTGTGGTGAACTTGTACATCCCAAGGCTTGTGTCAGTAGGTAGCATCTCCAGCCACGACGCTCTTTGGAAGCGAATTCAGACCAAAGTCCAGGGGACTGAGCCTAGGGAACTCCATATTTTATAGAGGCTAGAACTAGAGAGAAGTCAGTCCAGCACTTTATGGATCAGGTTTTAAGATACATGTATTTATGTATCTATTTTATTACAGGTAGTTTATTTTAAACATTATTGTAAACACTTTAATAAGTAGATATTAATGACAAAAGATTAATCAGTCTGGGAGAGAGCTTTTAAGCCCAAAGACCTACACTTGATCCCTAGAATGTGCATTTAAGAAGCCAGGCATGGCGGCACACAGCTATAACCCCTGCGGCATTGGACAGGTAGAGAGACAAGTGGATTCTGCCGCTGAAAGACCCTGTCTCCTAAAACAACAACAAAAACAAAAAAAGAGGAAAAAGAAGTCAGATGATTCCTGACAAAATACAATCAAGGTGTCCTCTGTCTTCTACAAGCATCTCCCCCCCACACACACAATCCTGCACACACAAGAATACACACACACACATGTGCAAAGCAAGAGGCATGTAATGAGCAGCGATTGCCATGTCTAGGTCCCCACTCCCACTCTCTCTTTAGACAAAACTGCTTTCTTTCTTCCTTTTTTTTTCTTCTTAAAGATTTATTGTAGCTGGGCGGTGGTGGCGCATGCCTTTAATCCCAGCACTTGGGAGGCAGAGGCAGGCGGATTTCTGAGTTCGATGCCAGCCTGGTCTACAGAGTGAGTTCCAGGACAGCCAGGGCTACACAGAGAAACCCTGTCTCAAAAAACAAACAAACAAAAAAAACCCAAAAAACAAAAAACAAAACAACAAAAGATTTA